ACTTTATAAGCATAGTTATGACTCTTTAAACATATTTTAAACCTCCAAGTTCTGTGCAAAGTGAAGAGATTATGAGACACTGTAAGTACAAAGCATATACAAATAGTTTGTGTGAGCAGTGAGCAACAGTGGAATCCTGTGTGATAATCTTCCTCGTGATGTTTGCTTTCACAGTAAATCAGTCATGAGAAGGACATTATATAAGATATATGTATATGAATGAGCTTTGTTTCTTTTCTTTTTTTTCTCGAGGAGGATTTTTGCATTTATCTTCAGATAGAGTGGGAGGGAGAGAGGGAGGAAAAGAGAGAGAGAAACATTGATGTGAGAGAGACACATCAAGTGGTTGCCACCCACACAACCCCAATTAGGGCCGGGGACAAACTGCAACAGAGATACGTGCCCTTAGTGGGAACTGAACCTGGGACTCTCTGGTCCGCGGGCCGATGCTTTAACCGCTGAGCCAAACCAGCCAGGGCGAATGAGCTTTCTTGAGTTCCTTTATTTAATATTTAATTTAATTTAATTTTTTCCATCTCCATTTATTCCCTCTATGCCCTCTTCTGCCTCCACCCACCCCCCTTCTCCCCTGCAATCACCACACTGTTGTCCATGTCCATGAGTCCTCGTTCTTTTTTACCTCAATCCCCCCAACATCCCCACCCCCCACCCCACCAGCCCTGCAATGAGCTGTCTGCCTGCTCTCTATCTATGAGTCTGTCTGTATGTTTCTTGGTAGTTCAGTTTTTTCATTAAATTCCACATATGAGTGAAACTATATGGTGCTTGTCTTTCTCTGACTGGCTTATTTCACTGAGCATAATGTTCTCCAGGTCCATCCACGCTGTCACAAAAGGTAAAATTTTCTTCCTTTTTACAGCAGAGTAGTATTCTATTGTGTAAATGTACCACAGCTTTTTTATCCACTCATCTACTGATGGACACGGGCTGCTTCCAAATCTTGGCTCTTGTAAATAATGCTGCAATGAACATAGGGGTGCGTATATTCCTTTATTTTATTTTATTTTTTACACTAAATTAAAACTTTATTGAATAAACACTCTCCAGAACACATGATCCGATGGACTAGGTCGACATTACATGCTCGTCACCCCAGACTAACTCAACTGCTGATCCGGAAAATGAAAAGGACTGATAGGCACACCTTCCCTCCGGCAGTGGAATAGGCTTGAACCTTGTCAAGGAGTTTGCCTAAGGCACCCAGTCACCGATGTTGCCTGGGCAATGTCTTTTTGTTTACTGGGAAAATTCCAGGAAGGGACCACGTGGAAGTCAAGTAACCACAAGGTCCTAACAAAGCACTTTCTATATTGCTTTTTTTTTTAAATATAAGAATTTGTTCATTTCTTATATCTCATTTTATTCTCATATTTATGGAAAACTGGCAAATAATACAGAGGGGATTCAATTCCACAAACTGCATTTGAGCAGGACTTTCCTTTTCTGTGGTGTCCATCGTTGTACCCTCCATCTTTTAGCTTCATAACTGGCGCGCAGTAGATCAGCGGGTCTCAACCTGTGGGTTGCGACCCCTTTGGGGTCGAATGACCCTTTCACAGGGGTCTCCTAAGGCCATCGGAAAACACATATTTCTGATGGCGATTCATAACAGTAGCAAAATTATAGTTATGAAGTAGCAATGAAAATAATTTTAGGTTTGGGGGTCACCACAACATGAGGAACTGTATTAAAGGATCACGGCATTAGGAAGGTTGAGAACCACTGCAGTAGATGATCAATAAATAGTTGTTGAATGAATAAACCAACATGTTCTGAGGAGGTTCTTTGTGCAAGCTCTGGGGAGGTATTCTGGGTAAGTTAAGATGGAATCCTGGTTCCTATCTTCAAAGAGTTCCAGCCCAAGCTGGGAGAGGGGTTGGACTATGGGCAGGAACAGGCATAAATAGCTCTCTGGAAAGATAGAGAGTACTAACCACAAGCAGCATGTTAAAGTAGTATGAAAATAATAAGCTATTTAGATGTTACTTCCCAGTTTACATATTATTTTATTCTCTGAAAATGGGGAAAGAGAGGTTACTTCTTTTTTTTTTTTTTTTTTTTTTTTTTTTTTTTTATCCTCACCCGAGGATATTTTTGCATTTTTTGTACAGATAGAGTGGGAGGGAGAGAGAGAGAAACATCGACGTGAAGGGACACATCGAGTGGCTGCCACCCGCACGACCAACCAGGGCCGGGGACAAACTGCAACCGAGGTACGTGCCCTTAGCGGGAACCGAACCCGGGTCTCTCCGGACCGCAGGCTGACGCTCTAACCGCTGAGCCAAACTGGCCAGGGCTACTTCTTTTTTTTTTTTTTTTTTTTCTTTCCTTTATTGGTTTTAGAGAGAGAGGAAGGGAGAGGGAGAGAGAGAAATGTCGATGAGAGAGAACATCGATTGGCCACCTCCTGCACTCCCCCCACTGGGGATCTGGCCCATAACCTGGGTATGTGCCCTGACTGGGAATCAAACTAGCTACCTCTTGGTGCATGGGTTGATGCTCAAATACTGAGCCACACTGGCCGGACTTCTTAAATGACAGATTGGGTGAGGGGTTGGGTAGGCATTAATGAGAGGCCTCCAAAGGCTTAGAGGAGAAGGGATTTGAACTTGGCCTCAAAAGATGGGTATTAATTAAAGCTAAACTTTATTGAATGCTTCCTATGTGCCACACACTGTTTAAATACTTTACTTGCATGAACTCATTGAGTCCTCTCAACAACCTCGTAGTAAGTACTATCATCTTATAGAAGAGGAATCTGAGGCACAAAAAATTAAATAACCTGCTCAGAGTCACCCAGCTAGTTAGCAACTAGCCATACAGTCTGGTTCCAGAGCACCAGCTCTTTACTGCAGTTTTTATAGGTGGCTTAAAGGTGTTGCACACGGTGGGGGGCAGCCTTGAGGTTAGAGTGTGCCAGTGCGTTTGAGAAAAAGTAAATTCACAGAGGGTTGGCGGAGAAGTTCAGTAGGACAAAAAGGGTAGCAAGGCAGGAGAAAAAGACCAGCAATAGAGGATGGCTAAATACATCATGTTATATTCATACCAAGAGGTTACAGGAGAATGTTTTACGAATGGAAATATCTTCATGATACTTGATTAATGAAAACAATAACTACCATTTTTGAACTCTTACCATAAGCTAGGAATCATTTACCTTCCTACGACCACCCTCGTTACCCCTCACTGCCGCTCTGTGAGGTGGGAGTGATTTTCAGCCCCTTATATGGGTGAGTCTGCAGCTTAAAGAGAGTAAGTGAGTTCCTCTTACTTAGGTCATCTGTTGGATTCCTCACGCTGTTAACCACCTCATTTTAATGCCTCTCTGTTAAATGCCAACAGATGGTTGAGGAGGTATGCATATTGTGATGTCGTTTTTTTGTGAAAGGAAAGAAACACGCACATGAAAGTCTTAAGTGAAAGTAAGCGGTGGTTTCATGTTACTTTAGAGTAACTTTACTTCAGAGTAACATGAAAAGAGCAGGGCCAAGGCTCCCTTTCTGTGTTACTTTCATCCTTTATAATAAACTAATGACTACATAGTGATTTGTTAACACATTAATAAACATGAACGGATACATTAATTAAAGTATTGATTGTAGCATATATTATTTCAATAATTAAAAGCTACCAAGGGCCGAACGGACAAATTCATTACAGGAATTTGGGTCCACTTTATATATATTAAGATTTATTGAAGGTTTGTGAACATGTGGACCATTCCAGAGAGTAATTATTAAAAACAGAAAACATGGGTCACGTTTTATTTACCTGGTTTTGGTTTATTTTTTCATTTTTTATTCCCTGTCACCGTTATTGCCGTCCCGCAAGCATCCACTGGCACGTGCCACTGGCCTGCGCGTGATTTGGCTCTGCTGGTTTCCGAAGCCCTTCCTCACCTCCTCTCCCCTCACCTCAGTGACTTCTCACCACGTTTAGTGTTTGCTTCTCTGCCTCTGCCCCAAACACCAGAAGAGCAAGGGTTTCTGTCTGTTCTGTCCACTGTAATAGCCTTAGCACCCGGAACAATTTTGGCATAAAGCAAGTATCAAATCACTTTGTTGAATGAATTATAAATTGTAATAGACTTTATTTTTATGCAGTTTAGGTTCACAGCAAAATTGAGCAGAAAGTAGAGAGTTCCTATGTACAGAACTCCTGCTCCCCCCTCCCTTGCATAGCCTTCCTCTGCTATCAGTATCCCCCACCAGAGTGGTACATTTGCTACAGTCGGTGAGCCTACATTCGCATTATCACCACCACAAAGTCCATAGTTGACACTAGGGTTTACTGTGGGTGTTGAGCAGTCTATGGCATATTGTCGTGCATCCACACTTGTAATGTCGCACAGAGCACTCTCACTGCCCTGAGCATCCTCTGTTCTGCCTAGTCATCCTTCTCTCCCCCCAACCCTGGCAACTACTGATCCTTCTATTGTTTCCAGAACTCTGCCTTTCCCAGAATGTCATAGAGTTGGAATCACACAGTATGTAGCCTTTTCAGACTGGCTTCTTTCACTTAGTAGTGTGCATTTAAGGTTCTCCCACGTCTTTTCGTGGCCTGATCATTTCTATTTATTGCTGAATAATATTCCATTGTCTGAATGTACCACAATTTATATAAATAATGAATCATACTTTTAGACCAAAAAATGAGGTAACAAGAACTCAACTTCTAAGTAATAAAACAATTGCTTTGAGTGGACTTTGGAAGTTGAAGATGTAAAGGGGTGAGGGTTGTCAGCACCATGGGATAGTAGCTTTTGGGTGGAAACCACATCCATTCCTCCCTCCAGCTAATGTTTCTGAGCGTCCACTGCGGGCAGGCAGGGTGGAGAGTGTGGAAACAGGAGGCCAGGCCCTGCTTGCTCTAAGCTTACCCTGCAAGCGGGTTCTGGTCTCAGCGGGTCTGTGGGGCTCTGCGGAGTCTGGACAGTGCCCAGGGAAGTTAACCTGTGGTTTGTTCCACTCTCTGAGCAGATTGAAGAAGGGGGCAAAGCGGATCTGGTGAGCTCCAAACTGCGGGCCGGGGACGAGGTGGTGCACATCAATGAGGTCGTGCTGAGCAGCTCCAGAAGGGAGGCCGTTTCCCTGGTGAAAGGATCCTACAAGACCCTCCGGCTGGTGGTCCGCAGGTAGGCAGGGCTGGTGCTCACTGTGCTTCCCACACCTCCCCCCACCCTGCTCCTTGGTGTGCACAGTAGCTGGCTCTTTAAACCTCACTGGATCATTATGCCCCGCCCCATTTTTCTCTTTCTCTTGCCCATTTTGTGGCATGTGAGAAGGAAGTTGGGCGAAAGCATTGTAGACACTTCCTCTTTCCAAACAGTGGCTTCTCCAGCAGGTGTTGGCTTGGAAGAGTTCTTCATCACTGTGCTTCTAAATTTCTCGGCTTGATGAAAAGTGACCTGATCCCAGGTGTGGTCAGAACCCTATGACACGTTGCCTCATTGTGGGACTAGAGAAAGCAGTTGGCTTGGGGCTGTAGGTGACATTCCACTCCACTCACCTCCACCACAGCGGTCATCAAAACAAGCAAATCCCTTCTTTTGTTTGTTTCATTTTTCTGGTTGCGGTAGTGGTGGTTCCTTTGTTGGAAAGGTTTAGGTTGTGATTAGTTTTAATGCCTTAATGTAAGAAGTTTCCTACTCCCAGAAAACTAATTCCCTCTTGGTGGAGGGAATTGGTTTAGAAAGGGGAAGAGAGTTAAAAATTTTAAAATCACTATTACAAACCAAATACTGCTCAAGGTATTTTATATATCAGCTCATTTAACTACACAAGAAGCCAATGAGACAGTGACCACTATCCCCATTTTATTTTATTTTTAAATGTTTGGATAGGCTTTTTAAAAATATATAGGTTTTATTGATTTTTTTAGAGAGGAGAAGGGAGAGAGAGAAACATCAATGTGAGAGAGAAACATCGATAGGCTGCCTCCTGCACACCCCCTACTGGGAATTGAGCCCGGAACCCAGGCATGTGCTCTGACTAGGAATCGAACTGGGACCCCTCAGTCCATGGGACGACGCTCAGTCCACTGAGCCATACTTGGCTGGGCACTATCCTCATTTACGTAGGTTACTGAAGGTAGCAGAGCTGCTAAGTTCAAGAGTCAGAAAAGAGTCTAGATGCCCCTGGATCCACTTTACCACTTGAGTATCATTACCTTGACCCACTAAGTCCTAGCTCTGCACATTTTACTTTTTTTGATATTTTTTCATTAATCAGGTTTTGGCTGCCTCACTTCGCAACTGTTATGATATTTGAGAATGGTCAAGTTGCCTGGAACTTTAGGAGTCATTAAATCAAGCTACCATTTTCCAGTGTGAAAAGTTAGCTGTTCTTCTCATCACGCCACAGATAGTCTCTTAAGGAACCCTTCACCCCTGCATTCGTTCTTTTCTCAGATCCACTGAGTGAGCCCTTGGGTAGGGGAACATCCCCTCCCAACCACAGAAACACAGTGGTGGGTGTGGTCCCACTTTGTCTCAGGTTCTAGTGACTGCCCTCAGTGTACTGGGCAGTCTGGCTTCTCTTCAGAGCCATCTAACCAGTTGCTTCCCTGGTGGCCCGTGATACCGAGTGGCTCCAAGGATGGGTGCCAGAGTCAGCTCAAATCTGGCCTCAGATTCCAGGGCTGTCACACTCAAGCTGTGCGACCTTGGGCAAATTACTTAACCTCAGTGAAGATTCGGTTTTCTCATCTTTAATATGGTAGTAACAACTGGTACTGATATTGTTGACTATGTTTTATTGGCCGACTCCAGGCATATGCCCATTCCTCGTGGCTGAGATTGAGTAAAGCAAGCAGTCATCCATACAGGATCGTCGACTTCTTCAACAGATGGGCAGGAAGGCTCAGAACCATCAGGCTCATTCCATGAGTCCAGAAGAATGTGGAAAGTTGAACTTACTGTGGCCTTGGGACCCAAAATCCAACTTTAGAACACTGGCATTTATCTGTTAAGGACTGGCAGAGGAACCCAGATTCCCGATGTGTTTTGACAGGGACTCTGGTGGTGGATTAATCTCTGAAGAGGGCCACCCTGTCTCCTGCTGTGAAAAGCAGTCATGTTGGTTCTGGTTACGCCTTCTAGTGGATGGCGACATGAGATTTGTATCACTTCTTTTAGCAGAACAGGAGATAGTCCTGGGGTTGAAATCTGGCCTTGTCATATACAGATTGTGTGACCTTGGGCTTCCGTATGCCCTAATGTCCAAATTTATAAAATGGAAATAATAATTCCTGCCTCCAAAGGGCATTATGAGATTTAATGAATACAGTACAGAGTAGATGTGCAATATTTGATCATTATTATTTATTCAGGAAAGCCACCCCCAACCCCCGATGTTTATTCCCTTGATGAATTTACCACCATTAAGGGCTGTTTTCACCCTAGCACATGCAGAATTGGTCGTGACAGGGCCCAGGAGCTCATGAAATTTAGGAGTGTTAATTCACATTATCCAAACTCACAGGAAATTGAAGGATGTACTCCAGAATATCAATGCATTACCTCATTTTGAAAAAAAAGACACCTCTAAGTGGAACAAGTATCAGTATACTTTATCTCCACAGGAAAGCTAACTGGGAGGTATGACCATAAGTATGTGGTGGTCTCAAGACTCAGACTGAAGAAAGTGGGTCTGAGGCACCAGCGTGCTGGCATCTGCTCTGCCGGCCAGATGGTCCACCTTCCCATCAGGGACCTGTCTGCCAGACAGCCCAGATGCTCGCCCTGGTGGTTCAGGGCCCTTTCCCCTCTGCACTGCCGGGAGCAGGCTGCCAAGCGCTCCTCTCCAATCTCATTTCTTCTCTGCTTGTCCACAAATCCCTTTCTGATTGACACATTCTTTCTTTAGATATGCTAATATGATCGATAAGGTTACTGAAGAGTCCTTGCAGCTCTCTACTTCTAGGGTGGGAAACATTTTGTCTTTAAGATGCCTTTTGAATATGTCTTATCTCATCTATTATGCATTGATTTTTTATAGCTGAATGCTCAGAGTTTAGGAAAGGGGGCTGGTTTGACTTCTCACACATCCTTAGAGATGGGGATTATGAACGTGCCTTAGACATGGATGGACATTCCTCCCCACCTTTCAGAGAACTGGGGAGAAGCCCCTTAGCGCTGGGTTAATCTGGCATTGTATTTAGAAGAGCTGTGACTTTCCTGAGAAGTCTTACCTTTATACATTGGACATGTCATGTCCTGAGATTTTCATTTCTTTCTAGTTATTCATGACAGGGTGACGTGTTATTTCACTGATTAGTTTTTCTTTTTATTGAGTGATCTCTATACTTTGAAGAAAAGATTGAGGTGGCTTCCTGGAAATATATTGGGGGTTCTGTTTCCTAGAGCAATGTAGTTTGTGATGAAAATCACACAACTGCAGCTCCATCTGTACCTGCTGCTTTTTCTCTTAACGTTAGTTTGGGGCCAGCGTCCGCAGCCTTCATAAAAATGCCAAGAATGCAGGGCAGAGTAGTGGTGTTTATATAAGTTTCGAGGGTGTTTTACCCAGTGACCAAAAACAATCAAAAGTAGAAACACCTTCTTAGAAGGCTACAATGACACGAGAAACACAAAGTCTCAAGTTGAGTTGTGGGTCAAAGACCTTAGATCTGCTGACCCAGAAAGAAGGCAGTCTAGTCCTCCGGGAGGAGGGAGCAAAGGGTGGTGTAGGTGCTGCAAGAACAATGTGTCTCCGCTGCTGGGTACACAGGGAGGGAAGGTCCGTAGCTAGTGGTGGATAAATGGAGAAGAAATGAGAAAATAAGAAGTGGGCTGAAGAAAGGACCTTCCTAAAGGAAAACAAACATTTCCCACTGAAGGACAATCAAAGAAGGAAAACCTTCATGGAATGCAAAGACAGCACAAAGGATGTAAATTAGGAAAACAGCCATGCACGTAAATCAGGCCAATAATCCAAACCCTTTCTAAAATCTGCAGAGACTTTACTTGGCAGTTATGTGTAAAATACATGTCTTAGAACCAGGTGACATTTAAAATGCAACTAACAAAGGAAGGGGTCTTCAGATTTAATTTAACATTCCTGAAGGTGATACAAGGTGCTTTTGGTATAGGTAATACTCACTGCTATTTGCTGATAACCCAAAATTTAAATTTAAAAAATAGGAGGCTACAATTCCCTTTCTGAACAGACTATTCAGGGTAATTGCTGGGTATTCATCTAAACTCATGTTTTTACCCAGAGTTGGGACTCAGATTCCTGTCTTGAGTTGAATAATCAGAATGATATTGTAACCAATGGATCTATAATCACAATACTGATATCCCTGCAACCCCCATTTTTCTTGGCAAAGCCAACCTCCCAAGGTGCTGTATCAAGGTGCTGTTTTTGCCAAATACTATCCTCCTAAGATGTGTGTTTTTTTTTTTTGTTTTGTTTTGCTTCTCAAATGAGTTGTTGGTTTTTGTGGCACACAAAAGTTTGGGGGTACATTTCATGGTAATTGTTTTGGACTTGTCTTGGAAGGCTCATGGAAGCCACGTGAAAGCCAGAGGACCCATGAGATGGTGATGCAGGTGTGACGCTGCCTGGATTTAAACTCTGGTGGCATTAGGCACTAGCTCTATGACCCTGAGCGAGTCATTTAACATTTCTGATTCTTGCCTCACAGAATTGTGAGGATTAAATGAGAAATATGCCCATACAGTATATAGCGGAGTGATTAAAACATGAACTGTCCTGGAAATAAAATGCATATTTGTTAAGCAAATTATCCCCTTTTGAGAGGTCCAATCTCTGGAACAGATTGTATTATTGAGGGTCCCTGTTAATGGGATGCCTATGGTGGGGAAATGGTTTTCTGGGTGCGGAAGGCATTGTGCCTGATTCAAATCTGTGAGCAGAGGGTGGAGAAAAGGGAGCTTCTTTTCAAAATGGAATCTTACTCTGACACCTTCCCACCGTCTCTGCAAATTTGATATAGTTTTTTCCCTTCCCATTCATTTATGTATTGTAAGGAAATATTTATTTATTGACTGAATATGAATGTGTATTAGGAGTAGGAATAGATCACATTTTACTGGGAAAAAAAGAAATTGAAAAGAAGTAAGGATGAATTAATAAAAAACAATAAGCATCTGCCTAAAACATGAGCATTCCCA